TTTTTTTTTTTTTTTGGTACCGGGGATTGAACTCAGGACCTTTCGCTTGCCAGGCATGCACGGTGTCACTGAACTACATCCCTGGCCCTCTATGTTCTTTTCTGACAATTTCGTATAGAAGTTTTCCCTGTTTCCTCTGAACCCTTGTAGCCCTCATTGTCTTACCACTAGGCTGGAATAAACTATGTTGTATTTCATTTATCATTTTCTGACCTGGAAAAAAAGGAAAATTAGGAGTGCTCTGGTTTGAGTGTGTCTGTCAAAGGCTCGTGTGTTGAAAACTTGGTTCTCAGTGTGGTGATGCCATTTTAAGGGCCAACAGAGGTATGACAATCTGTAAGTAGAAGTGTTTCTGCAGTGTTCTGAATAAGTACCAGTCAAGGGAGGATCTGAGGATATACCTATATTAGCTCTTCCTTAGGATTTGAATTTGAATTTTGGCTCTAACATTTGCTACGTATCCTTGCACAAAACATTCAATCTTACTAAGTCTGTCTCATCTATAAAATGAAGATAATTCTTCTTCAGGTTGTCATTATGATCAAATAAGGTAAGGCATGTAAAATGAATAGCTTTCTGTCTGGCAAGTTTGTCATGCCCATAGCTGATATTATACATACTTGCGTTCCTAAAGCTTCAGATTCAATGACTTACATGTGCTGTATAAAATAAGTTCTCCAGGAGACTCTGGTCATACTGAGGGTCATTTGGCTCACTGCTGCAATACACATCACTCCCAGGAGATGGGGAATCTGGAGGGGATCCTAAGCCATTCCAGCAATGATCTTTGGATAATTCAGCACTGTAGAGATAAGTAAAACAGAAGGACTTTAACAGATATTTCAGGAGAAATATTTTTTCTTCAGTAAAATTTTCTAAAGTCCTAATCTGGAAGAAGATATGGTAAACAAAAGCCTCACATTAAACAGAAGACTATAAGTATTTGGAAGTTATAATCTACCTCCTGTGAGATGAAAACAGCTAGTACTTAAAACCCACTACTGACACTGATTGTGACCTCTTTCATCTACTCAACAATACTTATGAGCAAGCGCGAGGACCCGAGTTCGATCCCCGATACCAAAAAAAAAACAACAATATTTATTAGTCACCTATTATGTGCTAGGTCCTGAATGATACACAGATGGCTAAGATAACACAAACTGTATTCTTGCAGTGTTTATACTTTAGTAGGGACAAAAAAAGGCAATATAATTCAAATAGTTAAATGTTGTATGTTGTTTTTGTTGAAAAAATGGCTAATTCATAAATATGCTTCTTTCCATTAAGCAAACATGTGTATTTAGGATTAATTATGGCATGATTGGTTTTATGTAGGACATAAAAATTGTGGGACTGCATAACCTTTGCCCCTTTTTCTCCAGCCGCATTGTGATTAAAATGTGAGTTAACAGATGGAGATGCTTGTTAGTCTAAGGACGCTAGATCCTCCAGCCCCATTGTGATTAAAATGTGAGTTAATGGATGGAGATGCTTGTTAGTCTAGGGACGCTAGATCCTCCAGCCCCATTGTGATTAAAATGTGAGTTAATGGATGGAGATGTTTGTTAGTCTAGAGATGCTAGATAGGGATCTGTAACCAACCTAGGGTCCCAG